CAGTTGTGTTTTCCCCAAGCAACTAAAAAAGACTTTCTAAAATACCAACATTAGGTTGCAAACTCTCCACTGGACAATTTGGCCTTTTACTTCAACATAACATTTTTAATAAAATAAAAAAAACAACGTGAATATCAGAATTGTGGGTAATGAAGCACAATTCAAGTCACTGAGCAAGTGAATTCAAATAAAAAAATATCATTTTTATTGTTTCAAATACAAAATGTCTTTAAGCACCAAAGCAATTTTTTCTTCTATATTTGTAAATCAGTAGAGGCTGGCTTAATGATGGTACATGCAGTAGTGATGATAATACTGCTTACAATAATGGCATTAATGGTAAGTAGTAAAAAAGAGACTCTGACTAAACTCCAGGAGGCAAGTCTGGAGATGGTCACAGAAGTGATAAAAATAGGCCAAACACAAACAAAAGTGTGAAAACAGTGTCTGTTTACAGAAATGTAAAGAAAATACTTAGAAAAACAAAAGATTAAGAAAATAATAAACTGCCGTTTCTCCATGGATTTACCCAATTACAAAATACTGGTTCACTCGACATAAATCACACACAGATCAGATTACCAACTTAACACAAACTGGAAGACAAGTCTAACTGTTACACCATGAGTGGCAGGTGAAATGCCCTAATCTCCACTCCTGGCTCCTCTTGGAGGACAGAAGGCCTCCATTTGAACCAGAGCAGAGCCACGGTCTGAAAACCCAACAGACAGGAGACAAAGGCAACACTGTAAATACACAACAGGTAAGACAAAAATGCAATTAACTATAACAATAAGCAAACTATAAATGAAAAAATATAATGTGCTTCCTCTACATATTTACCTGTATGATGACGAGCCATAATCGAAGACTCAATGATGACAGCAATGAAACATAAAAGTGAACAATGAATCTAAAAGATTATGAGAGACAGAAGTCATGCAATGAAGGTGTGCAAAAGCCCTTCATTCCTGAGATGCAAATAATGACAAAACTGCTACCTTATATGTCTGGAGGTGTCTGCAGTCTTCTTACTGTATGTTATTGTTACAGTCTGTGTGTGACATTACAGCTTCTTTCAAGTAACATGAGGATGAGATCCATCCTTCAATTAAGTACTTACTACCAAACAGGCTCAATGGGTCAGATGGTCACCACTCTTACATTCTTAGTATATTATGACAATGTGTTGAACATAACAATAACTGTAACAAATGAAACAGAACTTTTGAATTGTTATAGTTTTGGGGAAAATACCATAAAAAACAGGATAATTGACAAATCACACTATTACATACTTGAACATCTATTCATTTATTTTCTAAAAATACACAAATATATACTATCATTAATGCATATGCAGTTTTATCAGTCATATTTTTAGATATGTGATAGTACATTGACTGCAATAAAAAGAGTTATTATAAATATCAGTAGGATATGCCTTAACAATAAAAAAGGGTGAATGATAAAGATGAGTATTTTTAATTAAAATAAATAGTAGTACTATCTATTTAATACAGTACTAGTATTTTGACAGCACAGATTTCTTATAGTTTCATTAGAAACTGATATTTTCAGTCAAAAATTGTTTTCGTTTATTGTGTCGGGAAATGTAACCTGAATTGTGGAATGCATGGTATATACTGTATTTTTTTGAATTTGGGAATTAATCTGCTGTAATTGATTAGATTCGATCAATTAATTGATTAGATTAGCTTAGATTAGATTAGAAACTTTTATTCACCAAGTACAAAATATACAATATTTTTTTCTTGGTGCAGTGTCAATATAAATTCCAATAAAAAAAGGAAAAAACCTGCAGATAAAAACAAACCTCAGTGATATGTAGAAATTAGAAGTATATACAGTTGAATGATAAAATTTACAATGAAAACTACATATATTTACAAAAAATATCAGTGGCAAGCACCGTAAATAAAAATGTATAACTAGTCCAGAGAAGGAATATAAGTGTCCTTGTTTATGAGAGTTATAGCCTAGGGAAAGAAACTATACAGGTGTTAGTCCCAGTTTTTAGGGCTCTCACTCTTGGTCTCCACTGAGAGGGAAGATGCTGGAAGAGAGAGTGGAGAATTGGATTGCATTCTTAGAGTTTACAGACATTAGCTGGAGTAAAAAGAGACAGAGGCCACAAAGAAGTAACCCTTGACCCTCAGCAGTGCAGGTGAGTAGATTACTGCTTTCAGAAAACTGTCAGACCTGAGTATGAGATGGTGTTTCTTGCTTGTGCCCTATTGTATTAGTTGAGTGCATATCTGGATCTTCCCAGCTGATGCTCCTATAAAACTGCTTTTTTCGTCCATAGCAGATATTATCCTAGCAGAGAGAGCTCATACAGAGAAGTAAAATATATATATATAGCTGAATTAAGCCATATACTAAACAATCTTAATTTATTAGGCTGATTTCTTAATCATTTTCCTTAACAATCCTTACCAGTTAGAAAACAAGCAATTCTTTCAGTTGTATCAGCTTTTGGAGAAAAGTGTATATTCATGAAAATACAAACAAGAACGCGTTTTCCTTGCAATGTTCACTGTCAGAGCCATTTCTCTTATAGATTATGTTCATAACCTGTAGTCAGTGTTGTTCTGGACCAACATCAGTGTTGTTCTGAAGAGTGGAACCCAGAAATAGAGGTGGATTTAGTGACAGGAAAAAGGATGGAAAGACAGGTAGAGGGAGGGAGAGAAAGTGAGACAAAAGAATAAAAGATTGGAAGGCAGCTACAAAAGGCATGAAGAGTACCCCCCATATGAAGAAGTAGTGTTAGTACTGTTTTATGTGCCTCTATGTCACTTTATATGGTCATGGGACATTGATTGCCCAACCATTACTTTGTATTTAAAATTCCTCCAGACTGTAAATATTGATACAAATAGTAAAATGTTCAATTCTGTAAGCATGCAGATAATGGGTGATTCATAATGTAACAATGAAAATGTAGCCAATATGCAAAATTCCTGGTTCCTCATGTTTCTCATATTTTGGCAAAATAAAAAGGTGTTCAATCATTTTCATCAAGTACTCTCCAGATAATTGACTAGTAAACATGTGTTGAAATATTACCTGAAATATTATGATTCTGAAACACTTGTTCAATCTAAAGTTCATGTATCTACATGTTTTTCCTGATGTCTGGTGCTAGTCCCCCCTTTTACATATTTCCTGTGTCTTCAGAATACCATGTGTTGTGCATGCCATTGGAAGAAGCTGACAGGCTTTTTGTGTTAGGATGGAGAGAGTTATAAAAACATACTAATCCAAAATAATATATTTCCAAATGTTTTGCACTGAAACCTTTTTTTCTTCTTCCAAGACAGCTGTTACAGTCTAACTAGTTATGAGGCTGCCTGATACATAACATAAGAGTAGGGAATAGTTTATAGCTACAATAAATTACTTTTCTCAGTTGGTTTTCCTTTTTTTTCTTACAACAGTTTGAAAATATGTCAGCAATTTCAGTGGAAAGGGTTGAGCAGCTTAAGTGTTCTTCAACAACAGAATTATTAATAAAACTGAAAGGGCAAATGAGCCAGACTGGAAATGTCATCACCAAGAAACCTGTGAACATCATGGCCTGAAGCATCTTACCTGTCAGGAAAACAAACGAAGCTTTACAAAATGCAGAATTGTGTTTTTACTTTAAATTCACTTCCCTCAAATGGTTTCTATTGATTCAGCATATTTTCCTCAGCATGTGTGATGGGTGCAATTTGGATTCAATCACGGCTGCTCTCAGTCTCAGAGCATCACTGCCTAGACAGTAGCAAACTCCCTTATGCCAAAAGACATAGTCTTTTGCGGCCAAAGAGAGGGTGATGTCAACATTATGTCAAGTCCATTTACACATGCACACATTAAGGGAAATCACAATTTTGACCAAGGCCAAATATATGTAAATGCAGTTACTACGTTTATAAAAAGCCTTACCACAAACACCCTCTTCCTTGAGGGGAAATAAAATCAACTGTTAAGTGAATAACACAACACAAAACAGTCTATAATGTCAGAGTGAAAACATAATTCTATAGTTTCACCTAAATTATAAATATAAAACAGAAAATAACCAGTTCCATAAACATTCACACCTAAATAGCCGATCTGTGTGCAATTAAGATGTTTCACCATGAGCTCAGATCTAAATCCACCTCTATCTCAGGGAGGTCCCAATGATAACTAGTACAGATCCCCAAAAAAACAACTTTATCATGAAGACAAAAGAACATGAGATAGGGTTATTTAAAAGCATGGAGTGGGGAAAGGGTATAACACAATTTCCAAGGTATTGAATATCCCCCAAAGAACAGTAAAATCCATTATAAGGCAACAGAAATATGGCACAAGTGTGAATCTTCTCAAAGAGTGCTTGGGCAATTTTGCAAATAAGAAAACTTTAGATATGCAAAGCACCTACAGCCATAGCCAAGGAGACTCATGGTTTTAATTTCTGCAATAGGTACCTCTACCAAATATTGGCTCAACATGACTGAATACTTACACAATCAGTAATTTAGAGTTATATAGATACAAAGAAAAATCTAAGCCCTGAGCTTCAAGCACCACTGTGTAAACGCCAGTCTCTCCTCTGCACCAAAGCAAATAGGCCATCCCCAACTCCTGGATCTGACCAGGATCTGACTTGCACTTCATTAACCTCCAATGAATCCTCCACGCTCACCCCACCACACACTTGACTTTTAATTTCCCACAATTGGGTACTTCCCACAGCCTCAAGGACCACAACAGCAAAAACCCAAAGTAGTTTAGTCATTAATCATTGACCAATATGTATTAGCTTTAACTTTAATCACGTACAACATAGTCAGTGTAGCAAAATGCAATAACCCATTTTATTGGATATTTAAGTTATAATTAGCTCCTTGTACAGAAAGCTAGAAATTTCCTGAAGTACTTATCTCAGAGTGATAGAAAACTAAAGAGCTTAAGCCTAACAAAGACAACTTTCCACTCACCAGAGATTGACAAGAAATGGATGCTCCAGGCCTTGCATAATCTGCAGCTCTCTGAAGACATTGCGGACTTCGTCTCTCTCTATGCACTTCTGTTTATTCATGTACTTCATTGCATACATTTTCTTGGTGTCTCTCTTCTGCACAATGCAGACCTGCAGTGGAAAAAGGAAGATAGGAGAAAGCAGAGCATATTTATGTAAAAAAGAACGGTTAGCCTTATCTGTTTCAACAATCTAGCAATTACCAAAATAAATATCATTCTCAAAAATGCCACACATTTAACAAAATGTAGAAACAAAGACCTGAGTATATAGAAATCGTGTACTGAAACGACTTGTGAGTATAGATATAAATTATGGTAGAAAGGTAATTCCAACTTTTCAACATATGTAATATGTTGTACATCCTAAAAAGTCATTTGGAACAGTACAACTAGTATCCTCTCAAAAGCTTTCCCAATAGTGTCAGTGAAACACTGGTATAAAATGATAAATTGTCATCTGAGATTACTTTTTCCTTCTAATGTTTCATCGAGAGTGTATTCTCAAAGACTAAGTTCACACTTGGCTGTCCTTAATGTAACTCCAGTTTCACAGTATTCAGCTGATTTCATTTATGAAAAACATTAACTGCTAACCTCCTCACAAACACAGACCATTACAAGCCAAACCATTTCAAAACCAACACGAATGCACAAAGTACGGGGAAGTTTCCACTGTAAATAAACAGGAGCTCTCTTCAAGAGGGTATGTGAGGTAGCTGGTAAAAGGCCAGAACGCCACACACTAGAGCTCTGTGGGATAGCACACGACGGTGAGATTGAAAGGGGGAGAGGGAAAAAGCCAAGCAGGCCAAAAACCGTACTGGACAGCAGCAGACACACTGACTGCTGTGCTGCAAATAAAATATACAGATAAACCAGAGTCCAGGAAGACTAACAAACCAAAGAAAAGCAGCTTGGCTGAGGAAAAAGACGTGGATTTGTTTATGTTTGTTTTTTAGGAATTAACAAAGGGCACCTGTGCATCAGTTTATTTGAAATTCATAAAATATTATGTGATATGATATTTCGAGATCAAAACATAGAAATGCAGAAGGTAAATACCATTATACATGCTGTATTTGAGTACGACTTTAGTGTAGAAGGCATCATAAAGGGCATGTGAGTTATGTATGAGTAATATGCTGACACTTAACAATTGATGAATAACCCCTGTATGAAGGCAGACTAGACACTTATTAGTTTTTGCCAGTAATAAATAACCAATCCATAACCTTTGTGAATCATTAATTAGGCATATATTAAGCATTCAGTAGAACTCAGCAAGATATCTTCAGGGACAAAGTAGTAATATATGCCTTGCAGGTTTTTGTTCTTAAGTGTTACCAATTTGGTTGAAAAACAAATTATGAGGTCCCTAGTGAATTCAAAGAGCACAGTACTTCTCATCTTCTCACTTTAGGTTACATATTTTGGGAATGTCAAAAGAATTGACAGACATCTGCATCTTTTTTCTGGTTGAAAATAAGCAGACTTTTTCCATATTTTTTGTTCATCTATAGCTGTCAAGATCAGTTATTAGATTTTGCATATATGTGACTACTCCGTAATTACTCCCATCACAAATGACTCAAGAATAAGCACATCTTGATTTTTCCTAATTCACAGAGAATTTCATCAGACTAAAATGAGTCACTTACTCCAGTTCATTTTAATCTGAATGGAGCATGTGAAATCTTGATGAAAGCTTATTTCAACCACTGTGATTTTTCATACGCTTGAAGCGTCACCATGCCTCTATTGTATTACAGTATATTAGAGAAGGCTCTAAATACGCACAAGGATTATACACAAGGATAAAAGTTCCCAGATGTGGCATTGAAACAATGCAAATTGGTCTAAAATGATATGAGATGATTACACAATTACTTTGACAACATTTGAAATTAACTGTCATCGCAACATTTTCAAAAATCATTTTTACTTTTTTCTCAATAAAACATTTCTGGTATAAAAGAAAATACTTTTAGAAGGCAGAGTTTCTACAATTGTCTAAGAAACTAATCACACATTGCCTTCCCTACAGTTTAATCTATATGACACTAATTACCATTAAAACAAAAAATGTTTCCAATAATGTCTAATGTCTAATAAGATACAGTGATGAACATGGCTGGCTAAATAAAGTGGCTTCCCATCAGGACAGAATCAAGATGCAAGAAACGACATTGAAATGAAACTAATCTAATGTGCAATTCAGCGATCTGCACATTAAATACTTATTAATTAGAAGACATTCCTTTACACTGTGGACAATAATAAACATTTTCCAACTGATTTATCCAAATGAGCTCACAAAAATCACTAAATTGCTCTGCACATCAATTTCACTGGAGCAAGTTGACTAAAAACGTAATATTTTAAAATCGAAAGCAGGAGAGTTAGTTGTTTGAATCTACTCAGATTTTGCAGGTTATGAACATAATCTATACCATATGTCTGCTTCACGCAACATTGAGCCTTCGACAATGAATGGACAAGGAATAAGAGTGCATGTTGCCTTGAAGGTCATGACCATATTTTATGATGATGGTGCTGAGACATACAAAAGGTGACTTTTAAAATTATTCTCTACCTTAAAACATACAGTTACTGTACAGTTTCTGTACCTGTAACATTTATCCATTTGTTAATGGCTTTATCCAGTACAGGGTTGTAGGGATGCTGGAGTGTAAGGCAGGGCACACATAGACAAAACCGCACTCACATCAGGTCCAATTTTCCCAAATGCCAATTAACCTACCTGTATGTTTTTGGATTGTAGAAGGAAACCAGAGCACACAGCAAAAACCCAGACAATCACAGGGAGAACAAACAAACTCCACACAGAGAGCACCCTATGTCTGGAATTGAACACCAGACCCTAGCACTGCAAGGTAGCAATGCTGACCACTTTGCCACCATGGCCTATAGCACGAAAAGGTAAATATTCATAAATCACAAGTGGAATATTTTAAAAAAGCAAAGGGAAAGTAGATACAGTATATTTGTTCAGGTGAGTAGCTGTGTCAGCATGCAAAGGCTGCAAAGGAACAAGTAATTGGTTTATTCCTTGCTGAAAAGAGAAGAAAGAAAACACAATGTTTCAGCCGTGGAGCCTTCTTCAGGTGTGAGAAAGTACAGAAAGACTGTCTTTCGCACACCTGAAGAAGGCTCCGCGGCCAAAACTTTGTGTTTTCTTTCTTCTCTTTTCAGCATACAGAATATTTGGTTTGTTGGGTGACCCATATTGTCCAGATGTCATCATTTCACATTATTATCAGGGATGTGAGAACAATCACTTACTGTACAGTATGTTACACACAGATGTGACTTGCAGAGCGCTTGTGATCCTTTCTGTTTAGTCAGTGAAACTGCACCACTCTACTAGTTGACGCCATCTCAACAACATGCGCTATGGGGCTCATGGCATGAAAAGAAATGGCAGACTATTCTGACATTTTTGAGAAGATTATAACCTGTTGTCCAACCAATCCAATCCCCTCTGCCATCTTCTCAAAATGGTTGGAAAGTCTGTCCCGAGCCCAGTTGATTTCAATTAAATGATTTTAAATGAGAGGGTTTGTAACAGTCTGGTCACACTCTGACAGCTCACTAGAGGGAAGAGTGAAATAGCACAGCAGCTCCCTTTATTCTGTTCACGGAAATGGCACAAAAAACCAAAGACAAAATTAGAAACATGAGACTACTTCAGACCCTTAAACCCTTCTTCAGCCATCAGGCCCTCAGGCTGTTTCAGTAAGGTGGGAACTCTTGGCTTGTTTGTCTTTTCCCCCATCCACCCTCTAGGCTACTTCACAAAGTGGCTTCACTTTGGCTTGTATTCTGTTTTCTCTCTGTGAGGTGTTCCTTAGGAACCTAGTGTGAGCCCTGTCTCACCCTTCTGCTGCTACCTCATATACCTGCTGAAAGGGAGCACACATTATGATGGAGAGAATCACAGCTGTCAGATATCAGAATCGTAACATCTGACAGCTGAATCCTCTCAGATGGTGATTAAACTGACTGCCTGTCACGGGGTTATATCAAAAACAATAATTGGAGATCACAAATCTTTTCACAAAGCTGTTTGGCAAGTGCAAACTATTATTTCTAAATCTGAATTATTATACTTCCTGCAAAAGTAACTGGTACTGCGTATATATTTAGTATTTATTTGATTTGCTAAAAACATGTTTCTTGTTGGGCAGCATAGAGTCCAGTAGTTAGCATTGCTACCTTGTATAACGTGCCACATTAATCAAGTAGTGTAATTTTGATTAAATAAAAGGATGTACTATATCAATATGGGCAGCATGGTGGTACAGTGATTGCCAATGTTTGCTTGCAGCGCTGGGGCTCGGGGTTCCATTTTGAACCTGGGGTGCTACATGCATTGTATGTTCTCCCCGCACTCCCGTGGATTTTGTCTACGCGCATCAGTTTCTTTCCAGAGTCCAAAAACATATGGGTAGGTTACATGGCTTCTGGGAAAACTGGCCCTGGTGCAAGGGTGCGCATATCTGAGTCTTTGTGTTCCCTGCAATGCACTGTTGTTGTCATGATTGTAAACCCCTCCTCTTAAGGACACTCCGGCCCTTCCTTGTTCTGTACTGATCCCCTGCACCTGTTCCTGCCCCCCGTGCTATAAAAGCCAGACGTTCCTGCCAATCTGGGCTCAGCTTTGGAAGATGGACGCCCGGAAGCCCGCCTATCCGCAAGTCCAGGAGCGACTCGACAGCACAGGCTTCATCACGGCGTCCTGACCTACTGAGTCTGGGATTAGGGAGCGTCTGGTCCTGTTACCCCCTTTTATTCCCCCAACCCTCCGCCGGATCCCGCTCCGTCTTTTAACTCTGTTTGTCTGTCAGGATGGATTACCTAGACTTGGACTTTTCCGACACCCGTGGATTTGCCTCGGACTCCCTTCCACTGTTTGCCTCAGCCACACCTCCCCCGAACACCAGTGCACCATGGACACACCCCATGTTTTCCTTCCAGCCCCTTTGCATGCTTTTTTTCCCCGTGTTTTCCTCACTCCTCCCCAGATTGTGTAGTCTGCATAGGGTCCTGAAAGAACTCTTTGTGACAGTTGTCCCATCTAGGGTGTAA